ACACCTCGCCGACGAATGATTGCTCGTAGGCTATAAGTAATCCTCGCCAATGTCCTTCACGTAAGTTCATTGGACATCCTTGGGAAACTTTTTGGGGACCTTCTACGGACCATCAATTCAATTGGATGTCCTAATCAGTTATGCAAGATCTGGTCCTAAAGGGACCCAGACATCAAATTCAAATTCGAGAATAATTCGTACGTCCCTGGGACATCCTATGGACATCCAATTGATATCCCTCAGCGTTGCTGATAGGTTGTCCTATGGATGTCATCTGTGGTTGATGAGGAATACTGTAGGATTTAGGTATTCGATAGTTGTCCCAGGGACGTCCCTCAAGGACGTCCCTAGTTGGTCCTCGAGTGGGACATTTGTGCGTCCCACAGACGTCCTAAGGACGTCCTGAATGTTCCGACAGGACGTCCTAAGGATATCCATGGGACATAAGTGTGTTATTAGGGACCTGGAGTACTTGTCAAGTTTCCTTTTTGGGACTTGACTTTTGATTTCATAAGTGCGCGTTCTTAGGGCACGGGGTCCTTAATTTTTAATGAAAACCCGTTTATTCTCAAACTAAAACTTATTTATTTCAATCACGATATTATGATGACAGTCATCGGAATGTTCAGCTCCATTAACTTCTAAAATACGGCTGAAGATGGACTTTCATAAGTCCGAAACATGTCCCTTTTATTGACTACATCATAATTGAAGTTGTGGAGATGACTTTGAACTTTCCTTCCTCCTTTTATTCAAACAATTTCTTTGACTTCTTTTCACTTGTATTGTACTGTGCCGTTTTGTGATCTGCAGGAATGGAATATATTTTTGATGTTTCAAAAAATTATTGAAACTGATGAGTTTCTTCTGTCCCTACCAGCTTAGCTGTCAAGTCTGATGAAGGAGGACGGGATGCGATGTAGTAGGCGAATTGCTACTGAAAGTAAAAGCAATTTCGGTTTTCAATTTACCAAATCTATTCAGGCACGGTATCATTGAGTCGACAAGAAAAGAAACCCCAGTAGATAATCTGTGAATATACAGGGTGATCCTATACATTCGAAGCTCCCTGAAGAATAATTTTCAAGCCCATACCAATATGAACCTTTTTCTTAAATTTCGAAGGAGAAAACATTAATTAATTCAAGATAGGCATATCCTAATATTTACAAAACTATTAGATTTGAAAATGTATCTGAATTGAGAATTCTACACATTATACTCATAACACTTAATAATAATTACTTATTTTCTTGTTCTAAAATCGCCAGATCTCGATGACGTGATACACTTATTCGCATCAATAATGAGTGATATTTGTTGATATACAGGGTTTCCGGAAAGGTCATGTCGTAAATGATTAGGCTCATAGAGTGAGCCAAAATAATATGCTAGTAGGTACTTCATTGTATAAAAGAATGTATATCGCACTCCCTTTCCTGTTTACGTAAATATCAATTTCACTACTTACTACGTAAATATCAATTTCACTACTACGCATTGTATAAGAGATTATTTCTACTATAATAATATTCTGATAGGCTAAGACGGAATTGAACGTTAATGGTGGTTGTCAGAAATGTCAAAAAATGAAATTTATCATTCATTTTGTGTTAGAAATCGTTTTTCAAGATATTGAGAAGCATTTACTGCTTCTATCGAGATGAGATTTCCGACTGTTTTATTCTTCAAAAATGTAAAAAAACTTCACAAACGATAAGATTTTCACAAAATTCACACATGTTTCGCTAACAGAGTAGCTTCTTCGGGCGAAATACTGGTACAATAAATTAAACTTACATTGGCTTGCCTAACTTTTATATCCTATTTTCCCAACCTGAAGGATTAGAATTACCTGTGGAAAGGTTCGATATACCTTTATTTTCGGAAAGTAGGTACAATATCTATATTAAAATACGATGTACCGGATTAACTTGAAAGGGTTGATAGCAAATAGATATCTTACATAATCAAATTCAACAGTGGTGAAATATTAAGGTCTAGTTGATCATTAAGTGATATGTTAGAATTTTCGCGTCTGCTGATTTCTAATGACTCCAAATGATTGAGTTTTATTGAGTATGTCGAATTCGTTCTTAAACAAGAGAAATGAAGTTGTTTTCAAATAAATGCAATACACGCAAATCATACACATATTAGAAGAAAATCATAGTTATTATAATAAGTTCGAAATTCTACACGAAGAAAATATAGTTATCATCGTAACAAGGCCGATATGTAGCAAATAACGGATAAGGTTGAATATTGTAATCCGAGGCGCAGCCGAAGATTTATATAACCACCAAATCCGTCATTAGCGTATCGACCGACTTTTCGTAATTCTGCTGGAAGATTACGATATTTTGATTCCGAGGAAAGAACGAATCTCGTTCAACCTCGTGATTCTACAGAAAAATCCCAACATCGTGTTGTTATAGAACAGTTAACGGCCGCCGACCGTTAAACAGTCTTAACGGACAGAGGCTGTTCACATTAACTCTTCAATTGTCATCTGAATACCGTTAAATCAAAATAACAGGATGGGATTACGAAGATGGAATACAATAATTCAATGATTTGGAATCATTAGAAATCAACAAAACATATTATACATATCGATCAACTAGACTTCAATAATTAACCACTGTTGAACTTGTTTTCTTAGTAGGTACTATAATATGTATTTGCTATCATCCCTTTCCAGTTAATCCGCTACATCGTATTTTATGTAAATATTGTGCCCCTTTTCCGAAAATGAAGGTATATCGAACATTTCCACAGGTAATTCTAATCCTTCGGGTTGGGAAAGTAGGATATAGAAATTATAGGCAAGCCAATGTAAGTTTAATTTATTGTACCAGTATTTCACCAAAAGAAGCTACTCTGTTAGCGAAACATGTCGTGTGTTTAAGAATTTTGTGGAAATCTTATCGTCCGTGAAGTTTTTTACATTTACTATGGATCTCCATCAAGTAACTGCCGAGTCAATTCAAAATAGTATATTATGTAACAAGTGTTATAAACGTCCTTTTAATAACGAGTGTTTAATAAACGAGTGTCTAAAAGAGTTTATAAACGCGTTACATACTATACTTTTTCTACGAACTCATAATTGAATGGAAATTGAGAACATGATACTATGCAACTTCATGCAACCCACGAGGCACGTATAAGTGATATTGGTTGGAGATGTGTCCAGTCCAAAGGATACATACATTTTATTAACCTTTGTGAATAAGAAGTATTCATCTGACGTAGAAGATAAGAACTCTTCGATTCGCTGAGGTATCAAAGTTTTCGATTTTTCGTCAGATTTGTATCCATAGTATAGTCTGATTGTATAATTTTTGCTTACATACATAAATATTCTCAATATACAGGGTGTTAGTGAATAAGTGCAACAAACTTCAGGGGGTGATTTCTTGTCATAGTTCAGAAAATAAAGTTTATATAAACATGTGTCCTAACTTGCTCCGTTTTCGAGTACAGGGTATTGATATTTCCATGAAAAATCGTTTTTTAAATCATTACTCAAATGTCTTTTTACCAATTTCAATGAAACTTGGTGATTTCGTTGGATGTAACATGGAGCTTCTTTTGATGTGATTAAATTCGAAATAATATTTTCCGTGGCGTCACAGTGAGTTAATTTATCGATATTTACGGTTAATATCATTGTACGCCACTGGTTTTTCTGACTTCCATATTGTTATTAGGTTGAACAATTGAAATATTAACTTCCATATCCTCTGTGTTCTTTTTGTATCTTACTTTGTATTTGAGGAAACAATACAAATTCGATTCTCAGAACGTACCATCCCGTACGTCTTCGGGACGTACAGAGCGTACGTTCTCAGGACGTCTATTTTTAGTCTTAAATTGTTCTATATTCATTATTCACCTATTTATATTCATTATATTTTTCAATGATAATAGAACATTGCCAAATGTGATCAGATAGAGTAGTAAAAAGGCTCCTTCGGTGTTAGCTGCCGATCATCTGTCGATTCATTTGATAATAGGTCACAATGAATCAAAAGTGATTTTTTTTTAACAATGTAGGGAAATTGAAGTGAATCTGGCATACTATTATCCTGAATAATGTATTTCAAATCTTTATAGGATGTCGATTTCGAAGGATATAGAGATGAATTTATATGCACATTTTAGGTAGTGTCCTATATCTGACCAATCAGAACATTCACTGAGATTCATAGCAAATTCCATTTGGTGGACTGTGCACTCAATGTACCTTACTTGCATGTTTTGACCAGAGGTAAGCCTCATAAATCAGCAAGATTTGTGTGGAGTAATGGTTATAGCATCTGCATGGTAATCTGAAAATCGAGGGATCGATCCCGATAGGAAGTTTTTTTTTTATTAAAAATAAGATTTTTCTCTACTCTGTATATATTTCTTTTTCATCTATTTGAGTAAGAAAAGGCGAATCTACGTTGATTATGGTATTCATGGCGATGAAATACCAAACTTGGGCCTAATATGGACGTCCCTGGGACGTTCCATCTTGTAACATCGGACGTCCCCAGTCTTATGGACGTCTCTCGACGGACACTGGACGTCTTCAGGACGTTTTGTACGTCCCAGATGTACGTGCTCTGGACGTAGACAGGACGTCTTCGTGTTATCTGGGAAGAAATTGTGATGCAATGGTAACGTGTCCAATGTTTTGAATAAATTACAGATCGTCAATCCGTGATTAATCGATCATTTAGCGTACGCTAAATGCCATTTCAGTTAGGTGAAGAGAAAAAATGTTTTATTTTTCATTTGTTTCTAATCGACGCCTATGCCCGAACAGCTGATCTCATCTGGATGCCTGGCGTCGCGTCGCTCCCATCGCCAGTGTAAGCGTCGCGACGCTCTCGCACGGGCATCGTCCTAGTTCGCACTTTCTCTATCTCGTTTTCATGCGATCTCTCACGGTGACAGCGAAAAAGCTATCAAATCCTAATCTCTGGGCATTATTATCGATAACTCTTGTAGCCTTGATATCGGGAAACTGACTGGAATATTTCTATTCATTGTTATACAATTTTTTGTGGTTGATATTCCTACAGAACTGCTATGAGTACCGTGTAAGTATTTTGGAGATTTTTATTGAATAATTGTTTTGTTCTTCCATACGATATGACACAATGTTTTTGATGCTATCCAAATCGGAAATTATTGTTGTACCACGCATGATTATGAGTGAAAGTTGGATTTAATTACTTGACATTTTTTGGTAGTGAGTGTGACATGCGCACTGCAAGACATAATTGGATAGATACATCATATTTCATTCATGTATAGTCCAGTAACTGTAATATTCGACATTGACGTAATGAGGGGTAACAATTATTTTCTGTCTCACCAGTTGCTATTACATGTGAATCTATGTAATAGATATTTACGATACGAGTATATCGTATAAAGACTCATATTACGATATGATATGGGAAAGTTGTCAAACGAGGCCCATACGATTATTATACAATATTTTACCTTCTAATACAAAAACGTACGAAGGCGTAGAAGGGCCACAAGCAATTTTTTTTTTGAATCCTGACTTTAATCTCGGGCGCTCGACTTTAATCTCGGGCGCCCGACTTTAATCTCGGGCGCCCGACTTTAATCTCGGGCGCTCGACTTTAATCTCGAGCGCCCGACTTTAATCTCGGGCGCTCGACTTTAATCTCGGGCGCCCGACTTTAATCTCGGGCGCCCGACTTTAATCTCGGGCGCCCGACTTTAATCTCGGGCGCCCGACTTTAATCTCGGGCGCTCGACTTTAATCTCGAGCGCCCGACTTTAATCTCGGGCGCTCGACTTTAATCTCGGGCGCCCGACTTTAATCTCGGGCGCCCGACTTTAATCTCGGGCGCCCGACTTTAATCTCGGGCGCCCGACTTTAATCTCGGGCGCCCGACTTTAATCTCGGGCGCCCGACTTTAATCTCGGGCGCCCGATTCTAATCTCGGGAGCCTGACTTCTGAGTCAGGTCAGAAGTTCTCGTTCTTTCGCTTAGAGTGATACGAAGGCGTGCATTGTGTTGAATATAATGAGTGATGCAGAACAAGTAAGTGAAAATTTTTCTTCTGTATAGGTAATTTATTCATGAAAATATATTTTTTTTGGATTTTCCTCGTGCTCACCTGACAAGCAAGCACTGGACTACCCGATAACTACTCCACAAAGGCTGTTTTCTATTCATAGTTTGCGAGACACCATTTTTTTCGTAAACTATACTATGACAATATTTTTGAAGTAATGATTTCTATAGGCCCGTTGGACACTTTCTGGGATGGAAGTGAAAAGGAAAACTCGCGTCACTGAAGGAGAGCGTACCATAAGACCAGCATAATCATAAGTGTATAAACTATATATCGCGTCACGGAAGGAGCACACCATAAGACCGGCATAATCATAAGGCACAAATTCAATACGACCCGAGTTGAAGCATCTCGAGACATGACGCAAAAGGGACGGCGCAACAGAAAATCCACGCGGAGGCAATACAGCAAATTTCTATAGATACTTTCACGAGATATGTTCTTAGGAAACCTCTGCTATCATTCCATCACTACCAATACCAGTCAGACGAACTCGACAAGCCCAGTCAGCACATCATTTCGTTGTCAACCCCGAAAGATGTCGAACAGCACTTTATCAAAACTCATTTATCTATAGAACGGCTAAGCTCTGGAATTCTTTGCCCGAGGAAGTATTCCCAACAACTTTCCAGAAGTTCAAAAAAAATCCAATACCTATACCTCCTTTCCCTATCCTCCCTAGGAACGCGCGATGTTCTCTGAACATTATAGGGATTTCCTTTCGTGCGCTCCAAGCGATAAAAAAAAATCCTGAAAAAAAAAAACTTCATTGAAATAGCAAATCATTATCGGCCCCAATATTGAATGCCTCCACAATATTTTTTCAATCAAATCACTTCGAAAAAAGTTGAAAAAAGTTGAAGGAGTACAGGATTCGAGCCCGCGACCTTTGGCTTAACAGGCAGGTACGCTACTCCATTAGCCTATCGTATCCTTTTGGCACGGTGCTTCAACTCGGGTCCAATTGAATTTGTGCAATCATATATACATATACCTATGTTGATAGTAAATCGGCAAACTCTCGTCACGGTCACCGCGTACCATAATAAAGACGGGTATAGTCTAATCATATTGTGTTCTCGCTCGGATTACGAAAAAGATGCATTTTGAAATTTCACATGCTTGAAATTTCTCCATCAATATTTTTTTCAGTTCTATTTTATCCTTGTCGCGAATACGTGTAAATATTACATAAAATTAATATTACTCCACTCAAATTGCCCCCTTTTGCCGAAAAGATATTGGAAATACTGACCGGCCAACCGGCCATAGTAGTTATCACTTCCGACGTGTGGTCCCCTACGCCACCGAACATCTGTTTATGTTCGGTGCCTACGCACACCAGTTTTTCATTTCGAATTGACATACATATATGCGAAAAACTGTGTCCAACAAATAAATATATGAAACATAAAAAATACAACATAAATAATGAGGTGGTTTTTATGTCCGGCGGGTCTCTTTGATGAACAACACGTGCTCATTTTTCTTCTCTTGTGAAGGGGAGATAGGGAAAAATTACTTAAAACCTTATGACATTTTTTATATTCTAGGCAGAGGTATATCTTAATGGGATAGAATTTCGAGTTTTACTTTCACAATTTCACCAAAGAATATAATAGGTGATAATAATGCTAATGCTCATCTTATTCATAAACTTTTTCCTTTGAATTAAAAAAAAGGTACATTTTTCATCAATCAAGCTTGACAATTCTGCGATTTTTTCACCGGTAGCAAGAAAAAGTTGACGTTTCTATCACTGACACAATAGTAATTTATGTATTGAGGGCTTAAGTTGGCTTTTATGGACCACAGCATGTAAGTAGGATATTGATACGAGCAAGTTATGCCCGAAATACATACAACATTTTATGCACGTCCGGTTTAGACATTTATTGAACGTCAATATGAAATTTTTCAATGATTTTGAGTTCATTTGGCCAAATTATATATGTTACTGGCGAATAAACATCGAATGGTAGTCTACTACTAGATATTACTATAAAAACAGTGGAATCACTACTTTCCGTTCACCAACTTTACCGCCCACTGGGAAACTCGCTGTACTCCTTTATCGTCCTAGTGCGTTACTTTACGCCTGTAAATCCGAGCGATAAACTGCTTATTCACGCCCGGTGCATAACAATATTTATCTATGTTGCTAGGCCACACTTTGAGTTCCTTGGAGCTGAAGCTGAACTTTAACTCCTAGGACCTAGAAAAGATGTTTTCTCTGTTGACATGAAGGATGTTAATACAAATTGTAACAAAGTGAAGTAGTCTAAGGCCTTGTTTCGATCTACTTACTCATTCATATATTATTATAATAAGCTGTCAAGTGAGTCACATTGGGTGATTACTTCACTTATTTTTATTTTAGTTAAGTAATCAATGTTAATCAATATTGCAAAAGTCATTGATACTTGCAGTGCTTCTGAACTCGATGAAAGCAAACGCTCGGGTTCGGCTATTTACTTCTAATCAATGTTTCACAAACATTCCAGTTAAACTTTAAAATGTAATATCTCCCTAAACACTTTTGTACTTGTACAAAGCATACTCTGATTTCGTTTTGTCTTAAATCTTTTACTACCCACATCATTCATATCCTGAATATCTCAACACATAAGTTATAACATAGATCTAAATGTTATAATTGATACTGATACGTGTTTACTATCAATCAACTACCCAGTTTTCACACATGTTTCCAGTATTTTGTCACCAGTCATTGAATTGTTTGCTTTTTCCACTCATCTCTTGAATCCACGACAGAAAATGTGATTATATAACTCTTTGACGTAGCTACTCGTGGACTGTGATGAATATTGGATATTTTGGTTTCAAACCACAAAGTTGCCCACATCTCTCCTACAGCCCGAATGGACTAGCGGCTAGATCGAGGGTTTGCTTGTCAGGGACGGATTCAGTCGATATCCAGTCTTAGTAGACTCAAGGAAAAGGTTCCAAACATTGCTAATCGTAAGGTAGAGATCCAAGATTTTTTAACTATACCCATGATTTATACTTTGAAGACAAATATTTGAATTTGAATGTTGAAGAGTTCAAGGAAGTATAATATTATAAACGAAGTTGCCAAACAAAATTATCATACGGTTCTCAGATTGCGCAAATATTTTTGTATTTTCAATCCTATAGAATTTATTTGTAGACAACTGAAGAAAATAATCCGTAGAAATTTCGACCCTAGAGTTATATCTTAAAAACAACCACATAAGTGGTAAATGTCAGTGCTGTCGATTGGCATGAAAAAGTGAATGAGGTTTTGAAATTCTAAGAATACCTATCAGACATATAAATCTGGGTGCCATACACATCTGAACGGTCAGAATCGATTCATCATCAATTTGGCAGATGATAGTGAGGAGGGCTTTAATTTCAGCGATGAAGAAGATGAAGTGTACAATTGAATCGAGTTTGAATTGGTAGCGTAATTTATGAGAATATCCGTCATGAATTTCACATAACGAGATAATATTCCTGTCTAAAAAAATATGATACTATACACATTTTGAATTGTTTCTATTTGACTTCATGAATCACTTAGTAGCTTACAAGTAAGCAAGAGAACAAACCATACCTACACCTATTTAGATAATATAATTCAGGTTACTGATATCATTATTATTTTCTATCGTTTCTGAGTAAAGTAATTCAGTCCGGCTCTGGTCCCAAACAATTGCGGATGAGTGCGGATGGCTTCGGAATGTCGGCAAAAAATATCAAGAAGATTGCGCCTTCTTTTTTATGTTTCATATAAGTATTTGTCCTACCGAACAGTGAGAAAAAAGTAGGTATCGAAATAAAACAAGAAAAATTGATACAGACTTTAGGCATACCCTGTATGACAGCATACCAAATTCAAATGTGGTTAATTTTCTGATTTTGCATTGTAGTTATAATTCTATCCAAACCCAATTGAAAAAGCATGTGGTTATATACCGCGCATTGTCGCGGCGGGT